TACATAAAAAGGCCCACGGCCCTGCAGCACCCCAAAGGCCTCGCATCGCAAACACGCGCGCACACACGCACACGCACCGGGATGCCAATCACCAGGCGCCCCCCTTTCGGCGCGCCGCCGACGCGCCGCTGGCGTCCAATGGTTCCTTATCCAAACCACCGTATCAAATCTTTTCTCCGCGGCCGCCTGGGCTCCACCAGCCCCGCGTTCTCTGGCTTTCGGAAGGTTGCTTCGAAATCATGGCCCCACCCTGGCGCTGCAACTGCGTTCCTCGCAGATCTGCAATTCCGACGCGCGCCTCGCGCACCCTGGTGTGGCGACGACGGCCGACCCTTGCCTGTGCGCGAACGGCCCGCTGGTCGCGGGCGACCCAGATACCCTGAGCTGCATTGCCCCCGCCGTGACCTTCGGGAAAGATTCAGCAAGCGCCAAATCAAACGAGCGGATCGGATATGCGCCAAACGCGCAGATAATGCTCCCCGACCATCTGGACAGACCCGCTCTCGACTGTAAAACACCTGCGCCCGATGCGGCCTCGCATCATCCAGAGACGCATTCGCCGAAGGCCAACGGGGGTCTGCAGGGGTTTGCCAGGGGCGTGCCAGGGACGGACGCCCGCGCCTTGACGACATTGACGACGGACCCTTCGCGGTCGGCGACATGACTCGAAATTGCCCGCGCGTTCAGCGCGTCTGTTTCCTTGCGAACCATATGCGTTGTGCTACAACGACGGCAACTTGGCTGTTGCCCTCACCGATTTCTTCCTTGTGCCCCCCCCCATGATCTTCTCGGCGCGCGCCCGTCCGCGCGGTCTGCGGCCGATGCGAAGGGGCACCCCCTCCACGACTCTGCCACGACCGCTCAAGGCCTCACGGGCATCGCTGCCGCCAGCCGCCGCTGTAACAATCCATTCGCTTTGGTAGCCCGCGAGATCCAAAGCGCCGGCCCCGCCGTGGAGCTGCGATTCGACAATGATTCGCGCCCTTCTTATTTGCGTTTTTTTTTTGGGGGGGGGGCCAAGCGCTTCGCGCGCGACAGTGCAGCGCGCGACGAGGAACGATACGTTGTGGCGCAGCGTAGCAATGCGCACGCGCGCGCACAAACACCGCAATACCAGCCACCAGGGCCCCACCCCCCGCCAACGAGCCATTGGCCTCAGTGGACCGCCAGGCACAGAAACCAGGGACACCGCACACATGCACATACTTAGGACCCGCGCCCCCGCAACGCCCCGAGAGCCTCGCATCGCGCGAGCGCGCAGCGCCAGCATGCCAGCCGCCAGGCCCCTCCCCACTTCGGTGCACCGCCGACAACCACTGGCAACAGAGGGCCACCAAACAATGGCCCCAGGGACCCCGCGCACATACACATACATAAAAAACTCGCGGCCCACCGCGCCCCGAGGGCCTCCCGCGCACGCGCGCGCGAACGCCCGAATGCCAGCCGCCGGGCCCGCGCCTCTTGGAGCACCGCCAACGAGCCACTGGCAGCTTAGGACCGCCAAGCAAGGGCCCCGGGGGCTTCGCATGCTCGCCTCGCGCAGGACATCCGTAGTCATTGCTGCTGAAATCAAGCTTGCGCTTCTCCTTGTCATGCGACATGTCACTGCGTCGTTTCATGATTGCATATGCCGTGAAGAACAAGGTGGGCTGTACATAGGGGAAACAATTCGCTGCGCTTCACAAGAAGCCTGAAGTCCACGCGCTGCCAGAACTCATGATGCAACAAAGATGTGGGTGATGCGCAAAGAGCATTCGAACGCGGCGAACAACTTCAACGACGCATTGGAAAGACTTCATAAAGCGGCGCCCTCTGCAACGCGACACCAGCATCATGGAGAACGCAGGCAATGAAGGCCAGCAAAGATAGGTGGAGGAACGTGTTGGTAGAGATAAAAAAAACCTTTTGGATGATATAAGGTTGCAGAACCGCGACGCCGTGCAATCGGCTTTGTAGCGTTCTGCGCGCTACGCAAACTGATGGAACATTGCAAGGCCATGCGCTCTTTCTTAGTTGACAGTTTTTTCAACAAAAAATTCTGACCGGTAGAATGACCTTGGGTCTAGAGAACTGCGCTCCGCCGCACCGACTTTGAAGAAGAGGGTAGGCAACGTCAAATTATGCTTCACGCGCAGGCATTCGTCAAGTCCGAAAAATTCAGTGGGAGGGCCGAGAGCACTGGCCGCGATGCCTATATGGGCGACACATGGGAGGACGAATTACCAGCCATCACAGCATGCCATGGCACGTACGACCGAGTCCTTTCCAATCAAGAGATTCACGGCTGCATGTCGGGCGCCGACACCGCGGCTGGACTCGTCGGCGCGCTTTCCATCTCTGGCACACGCGCAGCGCATTATTTCTGAGAAGACCAATGCGCGTCTGACTCATAAGCGCCGACGCCAGCTGCACTTCGCGAGCCTGCGGGTGGCCTGCGACATGGTTTCCATGGGGCCCCTCCGGATAGCCGACCGGAGCGCTTCGCGCCCCCCTTGCCGCGGGGTCTGACGAGGGAATCAAGCGCGTTAGGAGAATGCGTGGCGACATGAACCTCTCTCTCGAACAAGTTGCTGCTTCGGCCGGTCGCGCGCCGACGCAGTGCCAAACCAGCTGATGCGAATCCAGAAAATACATGAAAATGTTTGTCGGCGCAGAACCCCTGAAGATGCATAGACTGCACGCTTGAACGCTTTTTTCTCCGATAGGCGATGGGCATTGCCGTTGGACGACAAGTTCTCACTGTTATGCATCGCGCCGTTAGCTTACGCGGCGGTCTTTTAAGCCTCGGCGCCCGCGTTTCTCTGGGCCCCCGAGCGCAATGTTCAACCGCGGGAAGGGTGGATCAATATATTTCTGAATCGCTCCCGGTGACGCGAGGTGACAGCGCGAAGTAAGGCAACTGGCAGGTGCGCGCGGGGGCGCTTGCGAAAAAGCGGAGGGGTGGAAGAACATGAGGGGGGGATCGAGACGCGACGTGTTCTCCAACGGTGTTCCGCAATAGCTTCGCGACAGGTGGCGACGCTCACAGCGCGCGCACACATCCCCAGCTGTCGAACGAAAAAACATGTCCTTGGACCGGCCGGCCTCGAGCTCGAAAACAAAGCCGTCGATGTGATGCAAAATGAAGCTCGCGCCACGCATGCTCTGCGCCGCTCCTGGACATGCTTACCCCCTGCGGAAGTCCACGCCCGTGACGGCGCCGCGGCTCTTGCGACAGCCCACGCCCACGACGGCGCGGCAGCTCTGGCTCGCTCACAAAAGTCCGCGGCCATAAGCCAGAAATTGATTACGAAGCCGCCGATGTGATGCAACATTGAAAACTTGCGCCTGTGATGCGCTGCGCCCCTCCCGGACATGCTTAATCCTTGCGAGAAGCCGCGTCCACGAAGGCGCCGCAAGTTTGGCCTGCCCACGAAGATCAAAAAAAGGGCCGTCGCCATAAACAAAGAAATGGTTACGAAGCCGTCGATGTGATGCAAAACTGGCTTCGCGCCTGCCCTGCATTGTGCCTACCCCGGACATGCTTATTCCTTGCGACACTCCGCGCCCGCGACGGCGCCGCAACTCTGTCTTGTCCACAAAGTGCCGTAGCCATGAACCAAAATTTGGTTACGAAGCCGTGGATGTGATGCAAAATTGAGCTCGCGCCTCACGTGCCCTGCGCCCATCAAGACGTGCTTAATCGTTACCAGAATCCACGCCCACGACGGCGCCGCAACTGCGGTTTGCCAGCTTGCCCTGCGCAGACCAAAAAAAAGGCCGTCGCCGTGAACCAAATATTGGTTGGACGCTTTGGGCACGTTTCCGCTAGGAAAGACGCTCACTCCCGGCGAAAACACCCGCCCAACGGCCCCACGGCTTCGGCTTGCCCGCGTAAGCCAAAAAACAAACGTCGGGGCGCGTTTCCGCCACTCGACACGCTCATTCCAGCGAGCGCACGCGCGCGCGCGCCCGACAAGCCCGCGGCTTCGGCTTGACTACAGAAGCCTCAAAAGCAGCCGTCAACACGAACCACACATTGGTTCGGCCTTTTGGGTGGGTCTCCGCCGCTAGACATGCCCACTCCCCACGACAACCCACGCCCGCGTGAGTCCCGCGGCTCCGGCCATAGTCACGTCGAGGGGAAACCCGCGCAGACGTTAGGCCCGTGGCGCGGGCCGCCCCCAAAACGCCCAACGGTCCGCTCGAACCCTTGGTATACAAAAACACATCTTCACATCAACCTCAAGAGGATTCGCCTTTCTGGTTGCGTCCGTGACCTGCCAAGAAAACACAAACAGGAAAGAAGCGCCGACGAAGCGGGCCAGACGAACAAAGTAAACTGACGAGAGAAAAAACAGGAACACCGGGCCGCACCGCACTTCTTCTTTCTTCTACCACTGTGGGATACAAAGTCCGCGCTCCCGTACCCAGGATGAGGATGAAGGATACGATGTTGTGGCGAAGCGAAGCGAACCACCAAGATCTGGTGTATATCAATGTATATCTAGTAGTCACCACCTTCTTGGCCGCAACCCGAATGCTTTATCCTGAATCGGTTTTACAAGTCCCAGGCCGCGGAAGGGCCCTCCGAGGCCCAGAAGTTGGCAAACACCGCCCGTCATGTGTTTGCTCGCAGCGAGAAGTCTGGGTCATGCCTCCCCCCAAACCCGCTTCCTCAGGACCCGCTTCCTGCATTCGGACATGTGTACAAGCGCGCGGTAGGAACAAGGGAAAGCGACACCACCGCCTCCCAGCCCGAGGACCCAGGGGGGGGGTTCTGCTGGTGGCCTGGTCACCCCCCCGCTCGGGACATCTCCATTCCCCAGCTCGGGGAGGCATCGTGGAACTCCTCGCCAGAGGTGGCAAGGCAACCCTGGTGGTGGTGGTGGTGTCGATTGTCCTCTCCGACGGCGGAACGAGCAGCCGCCGCCCCTCCCTGCAGCTGCCCCCATGGGATGCCCGCTGGCCAGCCGACCGCCGAGAGAGGCGCCAGAGGCCGGGACAACCCCCCCGCGGTCCTCGAGGCAGACGCGATGCACAGGCAGTCGTTCTCGGCGCGGCAGGTGCCTGGGCGGCCCAAAATGGCACCCCCGCCCCCGTCGGCAGCGTCACCCCTGCGCGCTCACTTTCGAGGATCATTCAGCATCGAATCGGGAAACCGGATCGCGTCGGAGCACGCGCTCCTTCCGACCAGCGCTGGCTGCAGGCGAGAGTGACCCCGGGCAAGAGTGAACTTTGGTGCGCGGCTTGCCAGTCGCTGCATGTGATGCGGCAGCAGCGGCCTGCGTGCTGGCGTTCCACCCCCCCGCCCAGCGCCCCCCGCACGCCGCGCACCAGAGGTCGCGCTGGTGGAGGGTACGGTCAGGAGCTTGTGCTCATCGTGTCGCGGCAGCGGCCCGCCGACACGCTGTGCCCTGCGACCGGGGATAGCGTGTCGCTCCGCTCCAGGGGGCGGGAGGCAAGGAACCGCTCGGACCGCTGACGTCTGGGGACCGAGACGTGGATAATTAGCCTGTCGCGCCAAACAGCGGTGGGCCAGAACCGGCGGCGCGGCACGCCAAAAGCCAAAGCTCCCGGCCGTGACTCTCGCGTGTAGCCGACCGGTGGCGGCACCCACGGGCGTCTCTGGCAGGAGAAGTGCAGCCACCGGTGGCGGGGATGAGAGTGCCTGGAGGCGCTGGGGGTCAAACGCTCGAGAGTGGGCCGCTCCCCAAGACTCCACAATCGCGGCACCCCCATCGGCAATCCGACCTCGCACCCGTCGTGGCCGGGAGATGGGGTGCCGTTTCGGGTCATCAACCTCTGGCATATGAACTATTTCAATCCCGGCGCCTGTCCCCAATTTCGGCCTCTGCGGGGGCACATTCGGCCCCCCGGGGCCATGACACGACGATCCGGGAGGAACGAACTCCCCCAGGGAAGCGGTCGGGAGCTGATCACGGAGCCGCGGATCAAAACAAACATATAGCTAGTCGGATGTCTGGGTTCCCCCCACCCCTAGGGACAGCAATAATGCCGCAGAGGCGAGGAAAAATGATCACCGGTTACCACTACGGCGGGGCCCAGGCTTTTTGAGCATGCCGTCTCAGGATCCCCGACAGGTGGGGAACATGCAAAGGAGGAGGGGAACACGAGGGATTGGAGTGGAAGGTGAAAAAAAGAAGAGGAGGGGCAGGAGGAACACAGGGAAGAGCCATTTGCCCTGCCCACTGGAAGTCTAGAAACGGCACTACAGTAATACTCAAGATTTGCTGACGTGTGGGGTTCAGGTGCAGTGGATGCCCCGCGAGGGCGCTCGATACGGTGTCCAGTGTGCACCACAGCCGCCCCCGACCACCTCCCCTTGCCCCCATCCAGGTGCTGCTGGTCATCCTACCCTTCTCCTTTTGTTTGTGGGTGGTCCTCCTGGCTCCTGAACGTGATGAGGAACAGGAGGACGGAACGGTGTACTGTTGGAAACACCTGGACGAGACGACCTCGACTTGAGGCTGAACACATCCGATCGCCACGAGGCGCTCAGCTGATTGGGCTCGCTTGCCACGGTGAGACGCGGCCTGGCGAATGGAGGTCAACGGGCGAGTACTTGGCAGCGGGAAGCAGCGAACGGAGGACGAGGAGCGGAGATGACGGCGAGATCGGTGCGTGACCATTTCGGCCCGGCCCGCGTCTCGAGCCAGCAGAGACGCTCAGAGACTCTTCGGTCGCAGCGCTGGTGGACGCACGGCGCGGTCAGAGCCTGCGCGGGGACGCCGCAGGGCGAAGTGTGCACGAGCGGGCGGGGGCGGGCAGACGAGGGCGGCCGCGTGACAGGCGCTCAGAGACAGGGGACCGTCGGCGCAACGCCGCCCCTCTCGCCAGATCTCGGACGTCTGTTCCCCGCGCATGTTTCGGCTTCTCGTGTGTATGTTTTCGCAAGATGATCCAATATGTTCCTCGATGGCCCTCGCCGAAAGAAAAAAGGCACACGACCGAACGAAGCCAAGAACTCTGCCTGCACCTCCCCTCCCCCCCTTCTCCTCCTCCTCCTTCTCCTCATCCTCCTCCCTTTCCTCGCCACCATCCGCCCTACCCTCCTCTCCCTTTCACTCACCTCCACTGTCCCGCGCAGTCCTCCACACTCCCCTCCCTCTCCTCCCCTAGATGTCCCCCCCGCCCGCCCCCCCCAGAAGTCGCCCCCCGAGCCGAGCATCTCCCCTCGGCCCGCTCCCTCTGCGGCATGTGGGCGGGGCGCACAGCCAGAGGAGGGAGAGCAGACGCCTCCAGACACGGCGGATGTGTGGGCACCTCTGGACCCCCCCACTGGGGATGCGCATCCCTTGCCTGCCCCGCCCCTAAGACGAAGCCAGGGCGAGGATAACATCGGGCACGGCAAGATCGAGAATCTCTGAGATCCAGTGGCTCTGCAGGATGTCTCGGGCGCCGCGGCCTCCTCGGAGCGTTCCAGGACGCTCTGAGAGCGTTCCGGAACGCCCTGGAGCGGATCTATCCTCGTCCAAGCCCCGTCCGAGCCGCTGAAGGTCGGTCGCCAATGCGGTGGATCTGCACATACATTCCAGCGTCGGATCCGCGGCCACGACCCCAGGGCCGCCAAGGGCCACTGCAACAGGGACGCAGGGTGCCCCGAGCACAATTGGGCCCCCCAAGGGGGCGTCGGCCGTGACCTCGACGGCAGTGCTGGAGGGCGCCGGGGCCGCCTCGTGGGGATGCCGTCTGGGGCCAGCAATGCGTTGTGTGTTCGCCGTCGTTCGCTTCTCGCGCGTATCGGCCAAGGTGGCGCCACGTCCAGGAGGCCCCCCAGGCTCCTGTGGACCTGAAAGGCGGGCTGAAGAACCCCCCAGGGCGGCGCAAGACCGCCCCGAGAGGGAGGGCCCCAATCGGGAGCGGCCAAGAGGGGGGTGTCCAAGAGGGGGGGTGCAAATCATGACCGGCGGCACGTGCGCGGCCCAGCGGGGGAGCCAGGGACGCAATGAAACAAGAAGAGGCGCCGTAAAATCTGGGGAAATATCATGGCCCCCACCATGATACCCCCCCCCTAGTCATCACCCCCCTCTTTTAAGCCCCCGACCCAGGGCCCATCCAGACGGTCCCCCGGGATGGTTCCACCGAGCCTCTTCGGAAGAGCTCGGTCGAGCCACCGCGCCCCACGCCGGCCCCCAGATGCCCCACAGGACCCCAGGAGGCCTCGAATACGCCCTCGAGAGCAAGCGCAAGCTGACGGCCACGCCACGTGACAACATCGTAGCGATGCGTCCAAGATGGCCCACATCAGAGAGAGGGGGCCGAATGGTCACCCATTGTCCCCGGGTGCGTGGCCAAAGTGGGATCACGTGGCTCAGATGCTTGTTGGTTGTGAAAATCTCACTTCTAAAAAGAATGTTGGTTAATCGCCCCCTTGCCCGGTGCCCAATGTGTCTCAACTAAAGTGTTCCTTGCGGGTCCCGCGCTATGTTTTCTACCATGGAAGATCTTGCGCCTCAGATTATGCCCCTGGCCCCTGGTCTACCACAAAAGCGGCTCACAACTGATACTTCACAAGTTATTCAAAAATCGCGCTCTCACGCGAGACGTCCTCCCAATATATCCAGGCTTCGCGCTCTCGCGTGGTACATCCTCGCAATTTATTGCGGCGCCGTGCCCAAGGCACTCAGGAATCAAGCTCTCGCTTTGGATGTCCCTACAATTTACTTGGAAGTCGTGCTATCGCTGGAAACTTCCTTATGATTTAAGCAGGGCTGCCGCTTCAACGACCCGCCCGCTCGACCCGTCTATCTGGGCCCGCCCGCCCGACCTGTCGGATAAGGACCGCCCGCCCGAACCTCCCGTCTGGTTCTGCCACTTATGCTTCTGCTCCGACCTTTCTCCTGCAAATCTCTCCCGTGCTCCATCCTTCTCTCTCTCTCTCTCGCTCTCTCTCTCTCTCTCCCTCGTCTATTCACTCATCCCTCCCTTCCTCTGTTCTAGGGGCTGCGTCACCTACACGTGGCAGGTAAGTAAGATGTACCCCCAAGGGGGTGAGATCGAAGGCGAAAAGGGCGGGTATCGAGGGTTCGGGATATACATGTTGAGTGGCTCTCGAGCATGTGAAAACGATCAATCTCAAAATTATTGCTGTTGTTATTGTCGTCCTCGCCCGCGACCCCCCCGCGACCCCCCCGCGACCCACCCCGCGACTCACCTGCGAACCACCCGCGGCCCGCCACGCGCTCGCCCCCTTACTCTTATCCGCAACTGCGGGGGGTGCTACATCTGTTCTTCGACCGAATCATGTCAGGAGAGCTCGGCAGAATCATGCTACTTCGATGCTGCGCTGGCACGGTGGATGGGCTTTGCCGTAGAGACCAGATGCAGAGGACGGATGAAGAGGAGGCGGCCAGAGAGGGGAACCGGATCATAAAGAGTATCTCCCAAAGACGTGGCCAAAGCCGCGGGTGCCTGGGTCAGTCCCCGTCTCGTACGAGTATCGCATCCACTTTCCATTCACTGGACAATCCCATTCGTAGTCCTCCATCCTGGGATCCTCGGGCAGAGCGTGCAGAAGGACCACTAGCCGTTCCAAGGGCACCAGCAATTCGAACGGAGAGCGAACACCTGGATGATCGCGTGGCAACATGATTGAACGCTTGAGCCACGGCCGTGCGCACATGACAGAACTCCACAGGTGCATCCAACCGGGCAATAGCGCATAGGGAAACGGTTGAGATCGGCACCCACCCCCATCGACCCTGTGCAACCTTCGTCTGAGAGCCGACAGAGACGCTCGTGTGAGCCGTGTGCCCACGTCACCGCTGGAAAAGACCGCCTGAGATACCGCCATAACAAGGACCTCTCAAGGGGCCCAAGGACACACAAATAAATACACACAAATAAAATGATTCCCCATATTTTTCCATATTTTCTGGGTTTTTGTCTTCCAGCCCAATTCCCATATTTTCCCATATCTTCCTGGGAGTCGACGATTAATTGTGTCTGTGTGTTTTTGTCCCTCCTGAACCTCTCTGCACTCCCGCAACAGGACTGGCTCCAGAAGCCCTGGGCACGCCGGCGCTGGCCTCGTCTCACCACGGCTTTCCGCACCTTCGACCGCGGGCGGAGCCGCTCCGGTTCTTCTTCCGCCGGCTTCCGCAGGCATTCCGCTGGCAGCCGGCCGAGGGCTGGAGGTCGACTCCTCGATCCCTCGAAGGCGATGCGCTTCTCCTGGGGCATCATGAGTGGGGGATCGGAGAGGTAGAAGCGTTGCTACTCCAGGGAAGTCCAAAAGGTCTCACCACGGGGGGGTCGCCACCTTCCGCTCAGGAGGGGGAGGACGACGCAACCACCCTCCTAGCACACCTGCCCAAGACCGTTCAAAATACCGCACGCGTCCAAAAAACAGATCCGATCATCGGTCTTCCCTTCTACTCGATACTCTGGAGGAAGCGGCGACCCCCCTTGGCGTTCACTCGAGTATCGGGGGTCAGCCCCAGACCGCCGACGCCGATGTTCTCAACCACTCTCTGGACCCTACGGGGCGACGTCGGAGGTGCCGCCGGGCGGGCCCACACAACCCAAGAAGATCTCCGAGAGCCGATGTCTGTCAGAGAGCCCACAGTGGACGTACGCGCCCAAGCACGTACACGAATACGGGCCCCCAATCCGCGAGACCGGCCTCGTGATGCGAACGTTCGCGAAATGCGTGCTGTCGAGACGGAGGTTGATTCATGTATGTGTACGGTCCTTCTTTCGCGCCTGAGTTGTGCAGGGCTCTGTTTTTCGAGCCGGATGTTGCCAGAAATGCCCTGGCCCGAGGTGCCCCCTGGGGATCTCCCGGGAGGCGCGCAGGGCCTCCAGAGCAACTGTCCCGCTCGCGCACTGTAGAGGGCCCCAGGGGCTCGAGGGTGCTGCGAAGAGTTGGGGGACAAGGGAAAGACTCCGCCAGGCGAAACTCGGCCGCGCTGAACTCGACCAGGCTAGACTCGGCCAGGCTGGACTCGGCCTGGCCGACATCAGCCTAGCCGAGTTGGGCCTGGCCGAGGTCAGCTGGCTGAGTTGAACCTGGCAAAGTTTCGCCTGGCCGACTTTCGTCTGGCCGAGATTCGCTTGGCCGAGTTTAGCTGCTGCCGAGGATTCCTCTTCCTTCGCAGGGTGCACCCCCAAAGCCCGTAAAATCTGGGCGTTGGCCAGCTTGCCCTGCTCGTCGGCTCTGCTGGTCTGCCGTGCCGCTCTGCTGTCTCGGGAGCCTCTCAGGGGCCTCTTGGGGGCCTCCTGTGGGAGTTCCTCGGGGCCTCCTCGGGGCCTCCCTCGTGGGGGCCTCTTGCAAGCCGCTCGGCGGCCTCAGGACACCTTGGGCCCCAGACCCTCGACCCGGCTTCATGATTTTTCCAGAGCGTCGACCCCCAGAGGTCTTGGCCCATTTCCTGGGACTAGTTTTTGATCCCGAGTGGTGCTCGACGGTCCCAAGCCCCGGTAAGTGGAGGCTTGGAAATGGGCACGCACGCCAAAACCTCCACCAGGGGAGGATGATCCCAGATTTTGGTGTTGTTGGTCATCTTTCGGCCACCTAGGAAGCCCGAATATTACCACCATCGCCGAGATTGGGATCGCCAGCCCTCGATGGAGGCACACCGCCGATACTGGTGCTGTTATCAACCTCTGCGCCTCCGAGGTAAGGGCCCCCTGAGGCCGAAAATAGCGAACTCTCTCCGTCGTGTGTACTCAAGGCACGAAAAAGTCTGAAGCTGGAGCCGCCTCCTGCAACCCAGGACGGGCCGCTGCGTCCTCGACCTCCGCCGCCTTGCTGGCGTCCACTTCGATAGCGTGGTCGTAGCCTGCGCGCCGGAAAGCCAGCACGAGGATGAGATCGAGTGAGGACAGAGCGAGAATATGTCAGATCCGGCGGCTCGGGAGGACGTCTCGGGCGACGCAGCCTCCTCCGAGCGTTCCCGAACGCTCTGAGAGCGTTCTGGAACGCTCTGCGAGGACTTATCCTCGTCCTGGCCCCGTCCGAGGGGGGCAGGTGGTCTCTCGGGGGCGCGCAAACATGGATGAGCGATCCATGGATGTGGCGCGCGGTCGCCAAATCCACGGCTCGGGGGGAGGTGCCCTCCCCAAAATGCAGCCACTGCCGCCTCGCTCAGCGGCAGAGATCCGCGATCTCCCCTGGAAGCGGGAACCGTCGCTAGTCCACACCCCCTTTCATCCGTGTTTGCGCTCGCCGGAGCCTCGCGCCGGCCAAGGCCCAGCTGCTGCGCTGCGCGGGGCGCCCGGCGGGCGGGCGGCGCCCCCGCCCCCCTTCCCTGTCCTCCCCCCCTCCCCTCGCCCCCCGCGCATTCTCTCGTGCCGTCTTGTCGTTGCCGTTTCTCCGACGTACTCGCGACGCGGCCCGCGACCCACCCCGCGACCCGCCCGCGACCCACCCGCGACCTGGCCCGCGACCCACCCCATGACCCACCCACATTGCTTTAACAGAAAGTTCGGCGCCTGCGGCGGGCCCGTTGTATGATTTGTGGAAGTTGAATGCCTGCGGCGGGCTTCTTGAGAGCCTCACAGACTGCCGACGTCCCGCCGCCGCCCCCTCACTCTTGTCCGCGACTGCGGGGTGCTACGTATATTCTTGCGCACAAGACACAGCAAAGTATAAAGCCGACAACTCACCAAAATGATTGGGACAAACGGGATGACGTTGCTGATGGGGTCGCGAATTTCGGCCGTAACGGGTTGCGTCTGGATGTAACTCGATACGGCTGATCTGTGCGTCTGACGGCGTGTGAGGGATGTGCCGAACTGGACACGCGGAGGGCAGAGGGAACAGGAGGGGGAGGGGCGAGGAGGAGGAGGAGGAGGGAACGTGGGAACTGTTTCTTCGAAACAAGATGGATGGGAACAAATGCTTGACGAGGGGCCGGTTGCTGAACGGCCCACCCTCCCTGCAGAGCTCTAGGCGACATTTCTTTTTGTTTTCTGAGGAAAATCCTGCAGGCCTCGCGCGCGGCAACTTGAGGCCCAATTTACGCTGGATCCACGTTGGGTTCACGTCATGTTTACGTCGGATTGGCGTCGAATTTACGTCGAAGCATCCCACTCGAACGTCGTCCCATGTCCGACGGGGCGGCCGTGTGGACCAGACAGTCCAACTATTGCGCGCCGCGCGAGGCCTTCAGGATTTTCCTAGTGGTTTCTGGACTGCTCAAAACCTCGACTGGAATATCACCAACTCTGTGGGCGCAGGTGGTGTAACCAATCTTCTATTGCCTCATCCCAAACCCCTTCTTGTCTCCCCCCTCCCACGGCGTTTGGGCGGGGCGCGATGTGTCAGGCGGCCCTTTCGCACCCAAGATGACTCCAAAATGGCGCCCGACGCCTCAAGATGACCTCCAAGATGGCTCACGACAGCGGGAAATGGTTCATGATATCTGATAGCCTCCGACACACCTCCGAGAAGCCCCAAGACGGCCCTAAGTGCTGTCGAATCATCTCAAGGACCGCTCAGAGGCTCAAATCGCTCCCACACCGTAAGGTAATCAATGATGTGTGCATTGTCGCCTCTTCAACTCCAGCGTGCATCTGAGGAGGAGCCCCAGAGGGCTCCAAGACGGCCCGAGACGCCCCCAAAAGCGCTCCAAGAGGCAATTCGTCGGCGTTTGAAGGGGGCACTAGGACTGAGGCCTCGCCATCTTCATGATCCAAACGGCCCAAGATCGCCTGAAGAAGGGCTCAAGACCCCCCAGAGAGCCACAACAATGCTCCAAGACGCTTCTCACGAACGCCGAACATATCAACATCCGCGCCCTCGCAATCTGGACTCCAAGGTCGCTGCTGCGCAACCGCTTGAGGACGTCCTCAAGCTCATTGACATCCTGCATGATCTTGTCACGCTTGATACCGTCAGGCTCATCATCCTGCTCGGCGTCGTCTTCCTTGAGGCCCCGACACCAGAGGATGGTTGGGAAAAAGGGCCTGGCGAGGGACCGTACGCTGAACGGCCCACCTTCCAGGGCGCGATCCCGCGGATGCGCTATCGCACGGGTTAACATTCCGCGCGGGGCATCCGCGAACAAAACGCCCCCCTGTCCGCAAGGCCGCGGCCCAAGGGCCCGGCCTCCGAGGCCGCAGATGCGGATACTTTCAAGGGGCCCTGGGACACACAAATACATAGACACAGATAACAGGATTCCCCATATGTTCCTACATGTTTGGGGTTCTCTCTCGTCATCCCCCCCCCCACACTTCCCATATTTTTTCCGGGGGATCAAAGATTAATTGTGCCTGTGTTTCTTTCCCCTCGTCTTGCGTCTGCCCCGAAGGCAGGAAGGGCTGTCCTGGTGCTCTCGATACGCGGGTCCTGGAGCCTGGAGCTCTCGATCCTGGTCCCAGGTACCCGGCTTTGGCCCCGATCGATGTTGAAGGGCCCAGTGGGCCCATGTGCCCAGCCACGGATCAGAATCACCGAAAATGGGAAGCATGCGTCTTGCTTGACTCGCAGCCTCGAAGGTGTGGGTCCCTCAACACTTCGGCTTGAAAATGAACCCTCCAGACCTCTCACAGAATGCGTTCTGGTCGCCTGGAGAGCCGATGACCCAGGATCCCATGAGGCAGCATTAGAATATATTTCGCCCTCCCCGGGGCACTCCCCCCTTTCTCTGGGCCACCTTAGAGGCATCCTAGATGGCCAGCGAGCGAGTGCGCGGTGGAGAGGCGTGCTGGGTCTGCTCTGGCTCTCCTCCTCCTCGCTCTGAGCAGAGGCGCGGCCGGGCCGACAGCCTGAGGTCGATCAGACACCGCCGATAACGAATCGGCGTGCGGCTGGATCGAAGAAAAATGCCTGCGCCATGCGCAAGTGTCCGCCCAAAAGGGGACCGAAGACTTCCCCGCGCGTCCGGCGCGCGCCCGCTCATAGCTGGCTCGGCGGGAGCCTCCTCACGGGTTGAAGAAGCCGGCGTAGTTCGCGTAGACCGAGGCGAAGAAAAACACGGTTGCCGCGAGTACGATGTTGACGTCCGGGCCCTTGCTGCCCACGCCCTTCTCGTCGCCCGCGGTGCGGCCGTCCGCCAGCTGATTCCGCCCGTACTCGAACCCCTGCAGGTAGGTGCCCTCAGGGGGCCTCAGGTAGTAGTCGCCGGTCTCCCACTTCTCCCAGTAGTTCTTGCCGCCGGAACTCCCGCCGTAGCCGGTTCTCTCGACGGCTGGAGCCGAGGGTCGTAGCGCTGGTGCCCGCGACGTGCCGGCAAACGACAGCGAGCGTAAGCCGAGGAACGCAAACAGGGCGGCCGCAAACATGCAGGCGAGCAGCAACGAGCTGGAGTGGGCCATACTTTTGAGTCGGGGCCTCGAGGGTGCGATCTGGCAAGGGGCAGCAATGCGAAGGTCTTCGTCCGAAATAGCTTGAGTCGAAACGGCTACGGAAGGTTCCCTGCGATGTCTGTATCCTCCTTCTTGGTTGGCTGCCGTTGCCGCCTCCCAGCTGTGCCTCGCTTGCTGCTTCGGCTTGGCACTGTCGTGCTGCTTCGTCTTTCCCGCCCCCATTTTTCCCTCGTTGCCCGTCCTTCCCCCATCCGTCCCCTCATGGCTGCCCCCACCCCCGTGAGTCTTCCTGTCGATCGCCCAGAGGTGCATCCAGCTCCTCTTCGCCGCTTGAGTCGGGCTGGTGCTCGCGCATCTATATCTCTCTGTATATATAAATATATGTATGTGTATATATATACTAGAACCACGCGCGCGCTGCGCGCGCGCTTTGGTTCTAGCAAGATGCGGCGACGGTCTAGGGTTCGCAGCATCGGAGAGCAGAAAGACGTCTATCAATCATGATCAATCAGCAAACCGCACCATCCCTCTATGCCCCCACGGATGCACGCCATGAGCCCCAGTCGACCTTAATCCTGCATTCTCCTCTCAGCAAACCCTCTCAATCCCTTTCCTTTCCACACCCTTTTTGGCGGACCAATGGAATCACATTCCACGCGGCAGAGGAGCTGTTGCGGGCGCGGTGGACGAATTCCACTCGGCATGCAACGCGAAAAAGTATGTTCATTGTCGACGCGGTGGACGTGTTCCACTCGGCGTGCAACCATGAAACATACAGAGGGCCGCAGGTCGAAATAGGATTCCGCATTATCCCACTTCAGCTGCCTACATACCCTTTGTTTCATTCCCAGGGGGGCGCCTCGAGAAAACAACTCACACACGTACAGCAGCAGCTCGTGTGTCCACCGGGGGGAGGAGGGGGGGCGGGCCCCAGTGCTTAATCAACCCGGTTGAAGCAACCGCTTTAAGCAGCCAAGATCTGGTCTTTGGGGAGGAGGGAGCGGGGGCCCGCGCCGATCGGCGAAACAAGACATAAGAAACAGCTACGTACCTCTCAAGACGGCTCAATGGGCCCGATTTCGGCACACCCCTCACGCACTCTACGCCTATCCAAGGCCTAGACGACCCAGAGCGTCCAAGGCCCACCTCGAGCAAACCCAATGTCTCGGCATTCCCACAAATTATGACAATGGAGCGAAGCTTCCGCGCGTTGAGCGGAAGTTCAAGCTCAAGCTAAAAGAGAACTATAAAATTGAGCGAAGCTTCCGCGCGTTGAGCGGAAGTTCAAGCTCAAGCGCATACAGCTGGACTTCAAATAATTTGGATCGAAAATGGAGCGACGCTCACAGCGAAGGCAGAACATCAAGCTCAAGCTAATGTGAAGGGGAGCCCCAGGTTGCCGTGGGCCTGCAGAAGGTGGGTCTCCTTTCTGCGGTCCAGGCGGCGCCAGAGCACCGCTCCCCTCGGATCCTGCCCAATGCCTGCCCACGAACCCCCAGGCCTGTCCAAGGTCAGCCCGACGGCCTAT